GGCAAGTCTCGCTGGGATTTGGGAACATCTTTTGCCTGAGCTTGTATGTTGAGCCCAAACTGCTCGTTGTCAGCTGATCCTGGCCAGCCGTGGCTCGTAGTGCCTGGAATGAGTGGGGAGATATTTTTTTAATTTTTTTTTTTTTTTAGAGAAACTTGCAGGATCTGGTGCCAGAATGCCCTTGGAGAGAGCCAGGAGCAGGGAGGAGAATGGGGAGAGCAAGGTGGGTGTCTGTGCCTGAGCGTCCCTGCTCTCTCCATCCCACAAGGGACCCGATTTCTCTGGCATAAAGCAGATATTTTGATGCTCCTGGTCAAAGGAGACAGGTAACAACAGATTGAAAACATTGTTGTGAAGCAAAAGGACTTGCCTTGCCGTGGGAGCTCGGCTGCGTGAGGCCACCTTCTGCCTTCTCCCTCTTCATCCTCAGGCTTTGCTTGAGAAAACATCTCACTCCTTCATCAGTTCCGAGGTCCCCCCTGTTTTAGGGGTGCTGAACCTTCCCGCAGAGGCATTCATGGAATGGGTCCTTCTGGCTCTCACCCTCCTGTTTCAGGACAGAAACACGTTTTGGGCATTAAGGATGCTCCGAGTGCCACCTGCTGGAACGTGCTGGAGGAGGGGGAGCGGAGCTGGGCAGCAAGCCTCGCAGGGTCCCCCGGGGCTCTCAGCCTCTTTGGGGGTGCCCCAGCCTGTCCCGTGGCTGCAGACCCCAGTACCTGTCACTGCTGTCCCACCGCGCTCTGCCGGCGAGTCCCGTGCTCTCTTACCGCTGCTCTGCCGCCCGTTGCCGGAGCGTGCTGGTGTCTGTGGCCTCCAGGATTTCGCAGCGTTTCCTGCCTGTGGCATCTCTGTCCACCTCCACGGAAGGTGATGTGGGTCACTTTCTTGCAGACAAGAGAAGAACTTCCTGGTGAGAGAAAGGAGCCCATGTAAAAAGACGGAACTCGGCTCCATCTAAACACCAAACAGGGTAAAATTACGCTGGCTGGGACTGAGTTTTCCCTTTTTAGGGATTTGCTTGTAACCCCCGTTGCGGGGAGCCGGGATCATTGCTTGGAGCGGCAGCAACATCCTTCCCGAGGGTGACCAAATTAATTTGACATGGAGCATTTGGCTGCCTCTCTGGAGAGGGATCGCCTCGAGGAAGGCAGCGGAGCGTTTCTAGGATGCTTGGAGTCAAAGGCTTTGGGTTTAAGCCGTACGGAAGGAGGTTCCTGGCGTTATCTGGGCCACGGTGGAGTTGGTCGTTCCCTTCTCCCAGCTGCCTCGGCCCTGTAAGAGTTTGTGCACGAAGGTGGGGATGAGCCAGATTTCCAGAGGCCAGCGTTGCCGACAGCCTCGCTGTGCAGCTCCGACCGTGCGTCCTGCGTTTCTTCTCTCTCCCTTGTTTTTTGGTTTGGTTTGTTTTTCAGGAGACCAATAAAACAGCCCTCGGAGACGGCGGAGGGTGAAACGTGTCTCTTTCCCACCGCTGCGCTGTTCCCTCTCGGTAATCCCTTCCTGCAAACCTCGAGCAGGAAAGCTCCTGCCAGGAATCCACCTCCATCCTTATGTACTTATTGGGAAGTTCCAGTTGCCCAAGTCTCCGGCGTTCCTTACCTGTGTTTGCACAAGTGACTCTGTCCAAGACTTCCAGCTTCAAAGCTGCCCCGTGGTGGGCGCTGCCTCCCCCCAACTCCCGCTGCCTCCCGAGGCTTTTGTCTGTCCAAACAG